AAATAAATGAAAATTTGCATGTGTCATTGTTATAATGTGCAAGTGCGTGTATGAACTCTTGGCATAACAATGAAATCTTATTTATTTTGTATTTGTTTAACTTTTTTAAAAACATGTTTGCCTAAATTGTGGCCCATTGTAATGCTACACTTGATCAAAGTGGCCCGTGAAAAAATTTAGGTTGGCCAGGCCTGACTTAAATAATAATTCTAAATCAGTTCGGCCTAGGACAAACTAGTTAAGCCTAAAGTATTTAGGCCAAACTAGATTGTCCTATGCTAAACTAGTTTGGCCGGTAACATATATAAAACTAATATTGTTTATATAAGGAATTTCAAATAAATTACAACATACGAGGATAGGGATGTGAGATGCTGGACTTGGGCTGCAGAAGGCAAGAAGAACAGTTTGATATATTATACTTTAATACTAATAGCCATATTTACATTTTAAAACATCTTGTGATTTTCAAAATGATACATTAGACAAAATTATGAATTTGGGAAACATTTGGCTATACTTCTAATAACTGAATATTGATTTTAAAAAAATTTGAAATGATTTAACTCTTTTCAAATCCTTCTTTAATTTTGAGCACCGGTATTAATGGATTAGTCTATAAATGAAAGCAAAGGGCAAAAAATGATGAATAATTGTAATTTAAATAATATCATTGATCATTTTTCAGTTTTTATTTTAGTGAGAATTTTGATTGTCATGATAAAAAAAATGCAGGTCAGAACGGATTACTATTCTCACTATTTTTAAATTAGTCACTTTTCTCAAGTATTTCGATGATATATCATTATTTCTCACTTTTTCTGCTGTTATGGGCAATGATATTTTTGTAATGCTAAGCTTTCACATGTTACTTCATTAATTTAATTAATGATTAATTAATGTTTAAATTGAGATGCCCATAACATCTTTCTCTTGTTGCGCTTTGGAAACTTTATGTTATTACATGACTTTTGAGGTCTTAAAACGTTAATTATGTAATATCATAAATTTGAGAGTGCACAGTCTAACGTCGGCAAAATTTTTTTTGAAGTACGGTATTTTAATTCCTTCTGAGCTGTTCACAATTAACCTTCACACCTTCAATTTGAGGGCAGGTGTTAAATTTTTTTTCAAGTTTTTGTTAATATTTTATAAAATTTTGAAAGTTTATTAAGGGACAATTTAATAAATTTATAGCTTTGTAACAGATTATAGTACACTTTATTGAACGTAATCATATTTAAGAACAACAATTTTTACATAATTTATTGTCTAGCTGACACATACAATAGTTCTAAGAATAAAAATGTGTATTATTTAGTTACATTTTAATATGAATGGTTTGTTTCACATTGAACTTAAATCATAAAAGGTAACAGAAACAGATTATTTGTAATACATGTTATCATTTTAAACTTTCTTTTACAAATTACATTATAAGAAAAGTAGTGTATTTCAGTTTTGTCTGAAAAAGGTACGACCTTGGATAATGGAGTTTTACTGTATTTTAATAAGTTCAGAAAAATTATTAAAGGACAATTTTAGACCAAAAAATCAATTTATACTTCAGTGACTAACAGCAGGATTTATTACTAAATAATAAATGAAAATATTGCTTTTTTTCCTATTTTTCAAAGCTAATTTTATGGTTATACTTTATAACAAGGAAAATTATTTTTATGTAATAAAATATTGTATTTTATACCTTGAAGTAGATTCCAAAAAATATTTTTCTAGTTATTAATTTTAATTGTAAAAAGTTTGATTTTACAAACTGATTGAAAATAATAAATCATTAAAAAGAAGAATTAATGAGAAAAAACATATTTAAAGAATGCATTAATAGAAATTTATTATAATTATATAATTTTGTTTGTTCATGATTTTTCATGTACACTTAATCTTTCAAAATAGGTACCCATAAGTATGGGTATCTGAGTAATATCTCTGTATCTGGTACCCAGATATACCCAGTACAAAAATGGGTAATGATATTCAGCACTAGACATCAGTTATATTTTTTTTATGTTGAGTACTTTTATTCATAAAACTTGAGAATGGAGATTAACTAAATAGGTTTGAAATTAGCAAGCATTTTGTTTTAAAGTAAGCATGCTTTTTTTAAAGCCAACGTAATCTTAATTATAACAAAAGAAAGTGAAATGGATTGATTTTTATATATTAGAATTTTTTAAAACTAATTTTGTAATTTTTTTTTATTTAAGGATAAACAAAAACAGAAAGAGAGGAAAAAGAGGAAAGAATCTAAGAAAATTAAATTAGATAAAATAAAAAAATCTAAAAGTCGAAGCAAGGCTAGTAGTAGTGGTGACAGCAGTGTCAGCAGTTCTTATGGTACCAGCGATTCAGAAGTATCTAGTTCATCTGACTCAGAATTTGAAAAGAAAAAAGAAAGAAAGGTAATCAAAAGTAAAACAATCATAAATTAATCACAGAGTAATGTTGTCCAGTATAAAAACAAGGATTCTCATATGTGTTGGCCAAAAATAAAATACACGGTAAACCTATGAGAAAGGTTCAGTAATGCAAATGTAGAGTAAATATCTGAATTTGCATTAATGTCTTTACTTCCATAACTATTAATTGATTAATTTAGATATAGCCATACTGGTTACAGTACTGACTGCTTATTAATTAATTTTAATATAGCCTGATAAGTAATCTGGCAGATAATTTGGTAATACTAATGTATCAGGTTGGTGTACATGTTATTGGACTGTCCTTGTTTCAAAATAGCATGTTTTTTGAATAGTATTGTCAAAATATACTGTTTTTATGTGTTACATATCATAATAGTTTTAACTAAATCACACCACTGATCTCTATAGTGAAGTGTACTGAAGAAAATGCATTCAACCAATAATGTGGTTTAATATATATTTGAAAGTAAAAATTATTTTATTTAGAAATATTTATCTTCTGCATTTTATTTTATTTTATTTTTTTTATTTTGCAGGACAAACATAAGAAGAAGAAAATGAAATTGGATAAAGTAAAGAAATCAAAATCAAAAAAGAAGTATTCTAGTAGTAGTTCAGAAAAAGCTCTAAGTTCTAGTTCTGATTCTGAATTAGATAAAAAGAAGACAGAGAAGGTTAATTATTTTGATTAATAATTTTTTTAATGATATTTATAACTGTTGATTGTACTAATTTGTTCAATTTTGATATTGTTTCAGAATCATTCCACCATTGTTATATCTTCACATCAAAAAGATAAAGGAAAAATTTTACAACAGAAAGACCAACAGAAAAAAATAAGCAAAGATAAAAAATCAGATGAAAGTTCAGATCATAAAAAGTCAAAAAAAAAAGAGGAAAAGCATAGCAGTGGTAAAAGCAAACATCATTCTACACCTCAAATAAAACCAGAAGAAAAAAATAAAAAAGAGGATAATCAAGATGATGTGAAGAAAAATAAAGATGTAAGTAAAAATAATTTTTAACTGCAATGAGAAAAAAGATATTTAAAGAAATTGAAAATAAAAAAACTATCATTAAACCATTTAGACTGTTCGAAATGAAAGTTCTATGAAAGAGAGTTCAATGGAGAAACTTCAACGTAAAATGTAAGTTTAGCCATAGAAGTTATTTGACAAAATATTTGGAAAATAATAAATATTACAACTAGGTTATTATATTCACTGCAATAATTACTGTTTCCTTTCTAATATTTTAGAGCAGAAAAAGAGGAGGAAAAAGAAAGGATGAAAAAAGAAAAATACGAAAAGAAAAAGCGAGAAAAAATTGAAAAATTAAAATGTAAGATAAAAACCATCCATTAACTTTTGTCAATGACATTTATTTAATTAAAAAGGCATATTTATTTATGAAATCATAGAAAGTATTTCAAATATTTAATAATTTGATATTTATAAGCAAATTGCTATTATGTTTCTTATGTATTATTAGACCTACAATGTATAATAAATATTGTGTGTTAGTGATTATTTTGATAGTTCAGAATGGAATAAATTGTATTGATGAGGAATGAGTCTGTAATTTAAATTCTTTTAATGTTTTTGAATTTGTATTTTTTAATATTTTTATTAGTGAGAAATTTATTGTTTTCTCTCATGCATTCACTTTAACTTCTACAGTTACCTTCAAAATAGAAATACTATATGAAATTAAGAGAAGATTTTCTTGCGTAAACTATTTGATAATCATATATTTTTGATATACAATTGGCAATAACTATTGCTACTTAGAAAGAACACCTTGTAGGTAGCTTAAATTATATGCTTGCCACATATGATTTTAAATAAAATTAGAATGGCTTTAATATTGGATAATTTGTGATTTTTTCCCCCTTGCACAAGTTAGTTTTGGATTTCTTTATTTTCAAATGCATTTGATAGAAACTTTACAATAGGATAGTGAACAGTTTAAATTTTATATAAAAATATCATTTAAATGACCAATGAGAATAACGAATCCTTACATCAAAAATAGTAAGGTGAAAATGTTTTAAAAATAAAATTGGAGTAATATAATTAAACAATTTCATTAATTTATATATAACCTATATCCAAAGATGATGTGTTGGTGCCGCAAAATGTCTGTTTTTTGTCAATGAGATTTTTTTGGTGTTTTAGAACATATACTTTTAGAGAAAATATATATTTTTTTCTCTAAAAATGTATGTTGTGTGTGTTTTATATTTTATACTTCTTTGTCATTAATCATATTTATATAATCAAGAGTAACTGGAATAATGCATCTTTTTACACCTAAATTTTCAGAGAATGAAAATGATTACTTGGTTTTCAATTATATCTATTATTTATTCTTTAAATCTGTTTGCAACATTAAATTAAATATTTTCCTAAAAACAGGTATTAAAACAATAGATCTAATTAGTCAGATTGTTTTGGCATCCTTTTTCATAACACATTCATAATGACAAATGCTGGGAGAATACCAAAGTGGTTTCCCAATGCCGTCCTTGGGGTTTCACATCTTTCCTTCTGGTTTGGATGTACTTCATTAATTAAGATTTCTTAATCAAAATTCTGTTGAAAAATTACAAAACAGAGTGAGAAAAATACATAAATTTATCATTCTCCTAGATGGTGATGAACAATTCAAATTTGAACAAATTGATTTTAATACATTGAACACTTAAAATTTTAATGCTGTTACCATTATAATTTGTAGCAAATAAATCGTTAATACAAGCATTAAAATCACTCCTGAGAACCCAATTACCTGATAAAATCTTCTATTCAAGTATTTTTACTGATTTTTCTTTATAAGAAGGATAGTATCACAACAAAATCATTAGTTTAGCTAAATAATAATTTTGAGAATCCATATATAATTTACTATAATTGATAATCAGTAAAATTATGAGAATTTTTATAGCTAATTATTGGAATATAAAAAACAAAGTAGACATACAGAATAAAAAAAAAGTACAAATCAAGTAAAAATTGAATTCAGAATATACCTTAGATTGATCAATAGTCAGGGAATTTGGTAATGAAAATAAACTATGAAAAGTACATTTATTAAATTCATCTAGATCGAATCTAGATGGATTTAATAAATGTGTTTGTCATACATTATTCAAGATTTTAACTGATTTAGAATAAAATTTGTAAATGATGAAATATTGATATTATACATTCAGTTTCATACCAGATATAGTAGAATCTGTTTATTGTAATTACAGATATTGTTGTAATTTGTTGATGTAGATATTGTTGTAGATTGTTGTGCATGCAAATTAAAATAAACTTATAAAATGTGCTTATTGTAATTAGAGTTTGTTTTTGTTATCTTCAGGTAACTAGACTTTTTAAGCTGTCTTTTCACACTATCAGCTTCAATATGTGGCTTATAACACTTAATCACTATCAGTTGAATTGAACCATTCCAAACTGTCTTATCTCTTTTTAAAAATTTTGTATCATCTGTGCTATCCAATTAATAATGAAAAGGGCATCACAATAAAATATTTTCATCATTAAAAATGTAGAAAATTGAATATCATTCCAAATTGCATCTTATTCACACTTTCAACTATTCCAAAACTCATTTTTTCCATCTTATTACCTTCAATATCATCCCAATTTGTCATTTAAATTATAATTCCATTGGCTAATAGCTCACATTATGTCCATTTTACATGTTATTTTATAAACTAATTATATCAGTTGCCAAATTTCAAGCTTTAATTAAAAAATTTATTGAATACTGAAAATTAAGAAAAAGTAGATGAGATGTATATTGCCTTTGTTATTAGTTATCATTATCAGTCTTAATCAGTACTTTAAATATTAAGCATTAATTGTTTTAGCCATTATTTGCTTATATTACAGTAGTTTATATCACTCTCATTTCTTTATTCAATTATATACTAGCTGTTAAAGCTATTGCAAAAAACAGCATGCAAACAACACTCTATGAATTACTATTTATTAATAATAATAATTAATGAATCTTAAAATTATACATTTTTTAATGTACAGTACACAATAAAACCAGAATTTTCTCTAATTGTAGTATTGTTTGATAATAAACAGCTATTTTTTTGTTTAATGTTATCATCAAAATAAACAAGACCCAAAGTGATTACAATAAGTGGGTTCTACTGTATATTCATAAATTCATTATTGCTAGAATGATATTTGTATAGCCATGAATGAATTTAATACATTTTATTTACAATGCATATTAGCATTTTCTGTAAAGTTTGTGGCTAGTGTTGTATATGAATACAATAATGAACTTTTCATTTATGTTGATAAACATTTACAGGGTGTCTCAGTTAAACGTTTCGAAACTTCTAAGAGGGGTAGGGTGCATCCCAACGACTCGGAATCATATAGCAATGTGGGGTCAGAGATGCTTTCCTGACGCGGTAGATGGCGTTGTAGACATTTCATTTGGCCAACAGTGGATCGGATGTGGTGGTTCCATGCGTTGGCCTGCTTGGTCACCAGACCTATTATGTCTTGATTTTTATTTCTGGGAGCATATGAAAACACTGGTTTACGACACCTCCATTGACAATGCTGAGGAGCTGGTTGCAAGAATTGCTGTAGCTGCTGGAGAAATTTGAGATGAGCCTGGATTATTCCAGAATGTTCAGAATTCCATGTGCTGTGGATGTGAGGTCTGCGTTGCAGTCAGTGGAAGAAACTTCGAACACTTTCTTTGACACATGTTTCTTTTGTTTTTGTACATATATTATTAAAATGAATATTCACTTACGGTTGTCTTCTTTATGATGTTTCTGTGTACATCACCGCTTCAGGTAAGCATTTCCGACTCTGCATTGCTATATGATTCCGAGGCATTGGGATGCAGCCTATCCCTCTTAGAAGTTCTGAAACGTTTAACTGAGACAACCCTGTATATATAGAAAACTAAAATAGCCACTTTTATTGAAGATCAGAATCTATAGTGGATAAAAAGTCCAATTCTTAGCTTGTTCAAAAATTAAATATAATAGTTTAGTTATATATTATAACTAATATTTGCCCTTCTGAAATATTGGTTTAACCCAGTGTTTTTCAATTACCAAACCATGGACTGGTGCCAATCCTCTAAAAACTTTCACCAGTCCACAGAAAATATTTGTCCATACTGATGCTGGCACAGTTGATTATGAGTGACATAAATGGTAATTTATAGTTACTGTACATATTTTGTTATGTACATCGTAATATGCCATAGATAAGCATATTTAAGCATAATAAATAAGAATAATTCATAGTCACATATAATGACTGGTTCATGTAAAATATTTTGTAATTTTACTGGTCCATGATGAGAAAAAGTTGAGAAACACAGATTTGAAATATATAAATGAAATACAGGTATACCTCGCCTTACGTCGTTAATTGGTTCCAGGAAAACGACGTAAGTCGAATTTACTTGTCTCCGAATCTACTTGTCACTACGCTAAACCATAAATTATTATTCCCTGTTCTGTATTTTATTTATTAATGCATTTTTAATAATATATGGTTAATAAAACTCTATTTTAAGCTTATAAACAAATAAATTTTAGTTTTTAATATAGTACAGAAAAAAGTATTCTAAATTTACGAATGCGTGTACTGTAAATACAGAACATACTCGTATATATTTTAATATGATTTTATGTGCTTTAAACGTTTTTCTAGTGATATTACGACTTCAATATTTGTGGCGGGCGGACGTAAAGTCGAATAAAATGACTTAAACTCGATTTATATTTTTCCATATACTTTTTTGACAAACGACGTATAATCGGGAATGACGTAACTCGAAACGACGTAAGTCGAGGTATGCCTGTATTAAAAGAATAAGTTTCATATAGAATATTTTAGCGTATTCATTTAATAAAGTGTTTATTGGATATTATCCTGTTTTAATCTCCGTCTTTTGTGTTGATTAATGTTATTCAGTAGATAAAAAGGACAGAATCTTTTAAGTATAAGTGTTCACTGAGTTCAGCTCTTCTGTTTTAGGCACATTTTATTTCCATATTGTCACCTGAGCAAGGATGTTAACACTCACTACCACCATTGAAACAAAATGTTGCACCAAATATGCCAGTTTGTGTTTTTTCATATAGTATGTCACTTTTATACACACATTAAGAATANTGTTAGTATGATGATAAATTCTTTGCTCTATAATAAGATTAAGAATTTGTTTATAAAAATTCTATTTTATTTAGTGAATGGTACAACTGTAGATACAAATACAAATAACCAAACATCAGAAGCTAATACTTCTAAATCACAAGATGGAGATAGCTCTCAAGTTGATAAAAAAAAGGAAGAAGAGACAAAAGAAGTTAACTCTTCAGATGCCATAGAAAGTAATACAAAGAAACCTTCTGAAAATAATACAAAGAAGCTATCAGAAAACAACACAGAAAAAACTTCGGAACAAACAGATAAATCAGAAGAATCTTGTTTGGAAGATAAGTCAAGTAGTGAAGTTTCTGCAGAAAGACAAAATACTTAGGTTTGTAAAATAAAAACATTACTATCATTTTGCATTTGAATAACAATATATAATTTTATATTGTAGGTATATGATCTATAAATACGAATCCAGCCATCTGGACCTCGTGTGATAACAATAACGGTTGTACAAAGTATAGATACTTACTTGTATATGTATGTATGAGTGTTGAACGTCATAAGAAGTGGACTACGACCAATACTAAAGAAAGATAGTATTTGTCACCATTTTTTGTGCATTTGTTTTTTCAGATGATAACATATTCATTTTATTGGTTAATGTAGACTTCATCTTGCATAGAGCATATTTATTCCAACGGAAAAAATAACATTTTTCATTGCCATTTTATAAAACTATAATTTTTTTTTATGTTTAAATCATATTAAAAAACCAAGCACCCGTTTTCATAAAAAAAACACTTAATCATCCCATAGAAAATGTTTATACAAAATGTTATTGAGCAGTGACATGTAAAAAATATCATATTATAAATCACATCTAGATCATATTTGATATTTACTTATCACCAAAAAAAAATGATTGTGTTAACCAGGTCTTAACTTGGTTTTTATGAAATAATCATTTGCTTTAAAATGTTGCATATCAGATAATACATTGTTTTGTCTATGCAACTGAATACTCTGAATAAATAAAGTGTTTACATAAAAAGTTTTTTTTTCCTGTTTTATTGTATAAAATAAAAGACATTTTTAAAAGAATGATTGCTTCAATGTAATTATTTTTATGCATAATTATTTACATAAAAAGAATGATACATTATTTTTATGTAAGTAATTATCTGTAGAAGTTTAAATTTAAATTCATAGCAGTTTTAAGACTTAAAAGAAAATTATTAAATATAATTTAAATTGTTGATCGAGATAATAATAATAGGTTAATAGCTTACTGCATCTTAATTATATTATAAGAAATTATATAAACATGATCATTTATTTATTTTTCATATTATTTAAGAAAATAATAACGGTAGATGATTATTTCCAATTCTCAAAAAGTTGAATATTCATAGAACAGTTTTATACTCCATTTTTGCTTGCCTTTTGTAAATGTTTTGTGTTCTTCCTGATATTGTCACTGAATAAGCACTGTCTCTTTGGTGTGATTATAAGATCATACTTCAAGGGATCATTTCTGGTGTGATTATAGATAAAAGATTGCTAAAATAAAAATAAAAATCATCTGGGAAGAAAAATAAACACTCTATTCATGGAAATATAACAATAGTGAATATGTATATCAACTTATTAAACAGAGAAAGCCAACTTGTTTTACTTCTAAATATTCCAGGCTGTGTTCATGTCAAGAATGTCTTCAAGTACATATACAAGTACAATTCAGATCAACTAACCAGTCAATTGATCCACTAAAATCATCATCCTTATACAGTAGTACTACTAATACTATTTGTTTCTACTATCTTCATTTATGTGAGAATTAAATCATAAATGTGTAAAAAAGAATCAAAAACTATAACCTATAAAATGTGGTATGTTCTAAATACTCTGCATACATCTTAAAAATAGAGGGGTCATATGATTGCACGCTAACTATTGTTTTAGTTCAGTATAACGAGTATTAAAATAAATTTAAGCTTATAAAAATACCTTATAAAATTATTTTAAAAAAAAACAAAGAAAAATAAAGAATGTCAGGAGAGAGGAATTGCTCCTGCTGAGATTTTCTTTATTCTTAATCTTTCCTGTAGCAGTTGACTAATTATAATTTTGAGATCCTCAGCAAAAAGTTTTTGGGGCCTAACAATCCAAGAAAAATTTAAATTATAACTTTTTTAACAGTTTTTTTTTTATGTTGCATGAAGAAAATTTGATACGATTAATATTAAATTAATATTAATATTAATCTTCAAAAAACATTTACATTTATTCTATATGTAGGATGTAGATCGTTGTATGGGAGCAATGAATGAATTAGATCGATTACCCATTACACAAGTTATACTAAAGAAAGAACCAGACATTGTTCAGACAATAAGAAAAGTATTTATTAATTAGTTTAGCAGTTTAAATTAAATTATTATTAATGATTAGGATTACAAACTAATTAATTAAACTTTTTAAAAGATTAAAACCTAAAGTTTTAAAATTTTATTTCAGTGTCGCAAATTCAAAAATAGTGAAGTTATAAGGCAAAAGGCAGAATATCTGTATCATAAATTCAAATCAGCTTTTCTCATTGGTGACACAGAATCCTTCTCTCCAGTATGTGAATTTCTGTTTTAGATTATAATTTATACATTCTTTAAATTTATTATAGATATTGATATAGTTATTTGTTTAATAGCTTCCTGAAAAAGAAGTAAAGAAAGTTAACAAATCAGTTACAAAACAAGATGGTGCTGAAGAAGTTGCATGTTAGTATGATGATAAATTCTTTGCTCTATAATAAGATTAAGAATTTGTTTATAAAAATTCTATTTTATTTAGTGAATGGTACAACTGTAGATACAAATACAAATAACCAAACATCAGAAGCTAATACTTCTAAATCACAAGATGGAGATAGCTCTCAAGTTGATAAAAAAAAGGAAGAAGAGACAAAAGAAGTTAACTCTTCAGATGCCATAGAAAGTAATACAAAGAAACCTTCTGAAAATAATACAAAGAAGCTATCAGAAAACAACACAGAAAAAACTTCGGAACAAACAGATAAATCAGAAGAATCTTGTTTGGAAGATAAGTCAAGTAGTGAAGTTTCTGCAGAAAGACAAAATACTTAGGTTTGTAAAATAAAAACATTACTATCATTTTGCATTTGAATAACAATATATAATTTTATATTGTAGGTATATGATCTATAAATACGAATCCAGCCATCTGGACCTCGTGTGATAACAATAACGGTTGTACAAAGTATAGATACTTACTTGTATATGTATGTATGAGTGTTGAACGTCATAAGAAGTGGACTACGACCAATACTAAAGAAAGATAGTATTTGTCACCATTTTTTGTGCATTTGTTTTTTCAGATGATAACATATTCATTTTATTGGTTAATGTAGACTTCATCTTGCATAGAGCATATTTATTCCAACGGAAAAAATAACATTTTTCATTGCCATTTTATAAAACTATAATTTTTTTTTATGTTTAAATCATATTAAAAAACCAAGCACCCGTTTTCATAAAAAAAACACTTAATCATCCCATAGAAAATGTTTATACAAAATGTTATTGAGCAGTGACATGTAAAAAATATCATATTATAAATCACATCTAGATCATATTTGATATTTACTTATCACCAAAAAAAAATGATTGTGTTAACCAGGTCTTAACTTGGTTTTTATGAAATAATCATTTGCTTTAAAATGTTGCATATCAGATAATACATTGTTTTGTCTATGCAACTGAATACTCTGAATAAATAAAGTGTTTACATAAAAAGTTTTTTTTTCCTGTTTTATTGTATAAAATAAAAGACATTTTTAAAAGAATGATTGCTTCAATGTAATTATTTTTATGCATAATTATTTACATAAAAAGAATGATACATTATTTTTATGTAAGTAATTATCTGTAGAAGTTTAAATTTAAATTCATAGCAGTTTTAAGACTTAAAAGAAAATTATTAAATATAATTTAAATTGTTGATCGAGATAATAATAATAGGTTAATAGCTTACTGCATCTTAATTATATTATAAGAAATTATATAAACATGATCATTTATTTATTTTTCATATTATTTAAGAAAATAATAACGGTAGATGATTATTTCCAATTCTCAAAAAGTTGAATATTCATAGAACAGTTTTATACTCCATTTTTGCTTGCCTTTTGTAAATGTTTTATGTTCTTCCTGATATTGTCACTGAATAAGCACTGTCTCTTTGGTGTGATTATAAGATCATACTTCAAGGGATCATTTCTGGTGTGATTATAGATAAAAGATTGCTAAAATAAAAATAAAAATCATCTGGGAAGAAAAATAAACACTCTATTCATGGAAATATAACAATAGTGAATATGTATATCAACTTATTAAACAGAGAAAGCCAACTTGTTTTACTTCTAAATATTCCAGGCTGTGTTCATGTCAAGAATGTCTTCAAGTACATATACAAGTACAATTCAGATCAACTAACCAGTCAATTGATCCACTAAAATCATCATCCTTATACAGTAGTACTACTAATACTATTTGTTTCTACTATCTTCATTTATGTGAGAATTAAATCATAAATGTGTAAAAAAGAATCAAAAACTATAACCTATAAAATGTGGTATGTTCTAAATACTCTGCATACATCTTAAAAATAGAGGGGTCATATGATTGCACGCTAACTATTGTTTTAGTTCAGTATAACGAGTATTAAAATAAATTTAAGCTTATAAAAATACCTTATAAAATTATTTTAAAAAAAAACAAAGAAAAATAAAGAATGTCAGGAGAGAGGAATTGCTCCTGCTGAGATTTTCTTTATTCTTAATCTTTCCTGTAGCAGTTGACTAATTATAATTTTGAGATCCTCAGCAAAAAGTTTTTGGGGCCTAACAATCCAAGAAAAATTTAAATTATAACTTTTTTAACAGTTTTTTTTTTATGTTGCATGAAGAAAATTTGATACGTGTAATTTTTAAAAACACCCAAGCAGCGCAGAACTTCAGATCTTTGAGATTTCCCTTACAAGTTATGCAGAACCTAGTTATGCTGCTGCCTTGTGGGTGCTCTTGGTTCATATGAAAATGAACCTGTGCTAATAAGTTCAATTTCATCCATAACGTGGAAAATAATTTGGCAACAGCAAATGAAAAATTTCGAACACAACCAAAAACTTCAGATATGTATAGAACCTAATTCCAGACATAAGGCAAACCTGTTACAATATATACAGCGGGTTTTAACGTTATCCACTATGATTTAGACCGGTATTTCTTAATCTTTTTAGTGATCGGCACCACCCTTGAATTTCAAAACAGTCTCGCATCCTTTGAATATTATGTTAAAGATGGCAAAGGTACAGAGGGTAGTAGTAATGGTCTCTGATATTGTAGTAGTGTTTTCAGTGTGCCTAGTAAGTCCAGCTAAATTTATAGTGTAAGACACCTTTAATTTTTTGTATTACACATCTAAGGATTAAAAACATATCGTTATCACTATGCTCCCATATTTTCCCTCTGTTATACATAACAGAATGTTTTGCTATCGTCTAAACTCGATAGACGTTCAGATGCAAACCCAACTATATACTCACGAACAACACGGAACAAATATGGCGGAGTGATGACGATTTGGTCACGTGAAATGACGTTCATGTAAGTTCTCTAAGTTGAATGTTTAGTTGTTCCGACATACGTGTACATTTTCCGTTATTTCATCTTTAGTTATAGATTTTACTCCGAATTTAGGAATGAAATTTTTAAACTATTAGAAGAAAAACCTGGAGGAAAATAATTCGCGGAAGCATCACAAGTTCAATTGAACACGATTACGCGTAGTTGTATCAAAATATTAATTAGCTTTATTTTAAATAATCTGTAAAAATGTAATCAGTTGTAGCAAACTATTGTCTCTGTGTGATTAAGTTATTGGGCTGCAATTTGAAAAAAAATTAGACCTATAAATTCCCATTGTTGTCTGCCTACCTGTCCTTCTTTAATCTCGAGAACGGTGTTAAATAGATGAATGTCGAGACCAGGTATGGAAAGCTTAGAGACAGGAGGCCCCGATTAACTGTATACGAACTTCCGGTTTGGACCAAAAGTCAATTCAAAGAATTTTTCCCAGAACGGAGTTAGATAGATGACCGGAATGACTCTGTTGTTATCGGGAAAAGTATGATGTATAGGGGTAAGACCCTACTAATTTCAGATCGGGGGCACATATTTTGAATTAAATTAAAAATATGATTAAAAGTTGCAGCCCAGCATTGTGACGATGTCACAATAATTTTTGTTCATTTAAAGTTGTATTCTCAACCAAGGATAAAGAGTTAGAAGCTAACCAATTACCAGTGCCGTAACTAGCCATTCCTGTGCCCTGTGCAGGAATTTGCATTTAGGCCCCTTAATTAATTAGGTTTGGGAAAGTAATAAAACAAATACATGCATTTTGGGCCCCTCTTCCAAGTGGGCCCTGTGCGGGTGCATCTGTTGCACCTGCCTAGTTACGGCACTGCCAATTACCATTAATTTTGCTTTTAGTAAGTGAGCAATTATTGGTTAACTTCTCGATTCTTGATTGCGAATACGGCCATTAATGATGTAGACTTTAATAAACAGTAAACATGATCTTTACCTGATTGAGTAAATTGGAAAAGGCGTAAACCTATCATTTTGGTGAAGTTGATTAGGGTCCCAAATGACGACCGATGGCCAAGGTGGTAAAGCGTCAGCCTACCATTTTGGGGATTTGGGCAAAGAACCGCAGGAATTTTTTATAGGCATTGTGTCTAAGATATATCGAGCTCTATCCCTTAACACCCAGCCGTTTCCATTGTGAGCCTTCATGAACCCACGATGAGTATGATTAGAAAAGACCCTCCTAATGCTCTTAGAAAGGAAAAGTGATAAATGAAAAAAGTTTCCATTGGACTCTCAAAAATTTCAATACTTTGGTAATAAGACTTATGACCAGGACGTTTTGGGTTCTGTTCCACATCACCTGGCTTCTGATTTTGAGCTTGATGAACCTGTGATAGACATGCAAATTCTTAGTGCCCCAATATGAAATGAACAGGGAAAAGTAGTAATCTTTTGTGAAATTAAAGGAAATTAGATTTTGCATCGTAACTGAAGATCAGTCGATAGAAGTATTTTTCCAATGGCTTGGATTTGTGATTTCTAGATCTAACCCATCAACGTTTTTTACTAGTGGATACGATCAAATTTTCTTTCTCCAAGTGTTATTCACTTGGAGACATATCAGGACGGACCACTCCGAAAAAATCATGGGGAGTTTTGACGCGTCTGAGTTCGATTCTGTGGTAAGCTGTCACCTTAACCGCTCGTCCATCCACCCGTCTAAGACGAGTTTTGCATATACCCCTTACCTGTCTAAAACCTAAATATGAACCAATTTCCCATCATAAGTATTTCCGGGAGGCGCCTGTCTTTGCTTTATTCTATCAAACCAAACCAAATTATATTTTCTTTCTGATAAAGTGTGCGAAAAATCTTGAAGAATCAATCACATACGGTCAGCGAAAGGAAAAATTCACACGTTACATATTACATATCATTTATTCCTCAATTAATCTCCATGAAATAAGGCAACAAGTATTTACATATATATTTTTTCCACCTTTAACTCTCCGCCCTGCAGGTACTAAGAGGACTTTTTTCATACATCCGTGATTTTATCGGGTCCACAGTGGGGCGTGATCGGGGGCGGGCCCGTCAAATTCGGGACAGATTACCCGTGAAAAATTTCACGTTGACATCTTAACCGCCTAGGCTATGTAACCCTCACTCTATTACAAATATAAACAATACGAATAAACAAATTACATCAATTCAGAATGTTTTTAAAACGAAACCTATTGACACAAAGTCGTTTTATCGATGACAGAGATATTTTGAATTGATACCTTTCATTTATATATATATATATATATTTTTTTTTACGTATCTAATCAATAAAAAACCAGACGATTACACCTTAACTCATGATAAAATAATCACGAGGGTAAAGTNGATGTTATCCAAACATTCTCTATCATAACTTAGAATTTTCTGAGTATTGTTTAATTACATTAGATTACAGATATTCTTTTTTCCTTCTGTAATTAATGTTTATCTGCATTACATTTGTTTGTACATTTAAAAATATAATATATTTTTAAATGTACAAACAAGTGTGTGTGTGTGTGTATATATATATATATATATATTTTTTTTTACGTATCTAATCAATAAAAAACCAGACGATTACACCTTAACTCATGATAAAATAATCACGAGGGTAAAGTACACCTTCAGTATTCATTAGGTCTTATAATTTCTTATTAAACATGTTCTCTATGATTCATCTCCGAAAAAGTACATTGTCAATTAAGGTTTATTAAAAGTTCCAGCTGCGCCTGTTCACCATCTGTAACTTATGTTTATATTGCCAATAGTGAAGAGATGATAAAACTTCTACTGTTATATTTTATTATTGAGTATATAACGCAATCGAAAATCATTTTATTCGCTAAATATGGCTGTTTGGAAAAAGTAAGATTCAATGTTTTGTTTTTAATCATTAATTATAACAAATTTCTATGCAAAGTAATTGTTTAAATCATTAATGTAATTATGTAAATTACGGTATATAAAAATTATTTTGATTTCTTTTAATTTACTGTTTTTCTGTATAATTTTATTCACTAAAATAACAAAATTTGGGTGTTATTATTATCTCTGATATTGTAGTAGTGTTTTCAGTGTGCCTAGTAAGTCCAGCTAAATTTATAGTGTAAGACACCTTTAATTTTTTGTATTACACATCTAAGGATTAAAAACATATCGTTATCACTATGCTCCCATATTTTCCCTCTGTTATACATAACAGAATGTTTTGCTATCGTCTAAACTCGATAGACGTTCAGATGCAAACCCAACTATATACTCACGAACAACACGGAACAAATATGGCGGAGTGATGACGATTTGGTCACGTGAAATGACGTTCATGTAAGTTCTCTAAGTTGAATGTTTAGTTGTTCCGACATACGTGTACATTTTCCGTTATTTCATCTTTAGTTATAGATTTTACTCCGAATTTAGGAATGAAATTTTTAAACTATTAGAAGAAAAACCTGGAGGAAAATAATTCGCGGAAGCATCACAAGTTCAATTGAACACGATTACGCGTAGTTGTATCAAAATATTAATTAGCTTTATTTTAAATAATCTGTAAAAATGTAATCAGTTGTAGCAAACTATTGTCTCTGTGTGATTAAGTTATTGGGCTGCAATTTGAAAAAAAATTAGACCTATAAATTCCCATTGTTGTCTGCCTACCTGTCCTTCNTCAAAGAGAGAGAGAGAACCCCAAACTTTCCCAGAGCGTTAACGTTAAGACATCAGCCTACCTCTTTGGAGGATAGGGGGACATTAATGTGTAATGGGCCCACGTGCCTGACCCAACGCGGAATTTTCCGGGCTTTCATCACATATCTAGCACCTGAATAGGGGCCAGTTTCTCATAGAAAGTCCACCCGGTAAGCATTCCCCTCCGCAGATTTCTCACGTGTTGCGTTGCCTTACCCCATCAATTCTGGGGAAACCAGAAAACTCCACGAGTTTTTTGGGGGGATAGAACGTCCGGCATGTGTCAGGACCCGCCTCTCACCACCCGCTCCATTTTGGGCCTGGCCGAACCTACGATGGGCCCTATAAAAGGCCCTATTAGTACTCATTAATAGAGTCTTTTTTGTCAGGGTAGAAAGAGCTTTAAATTTGACTTTTTTTATTATTACAGTATTATTAAATTTTTCGAAATTTTTTATTTACAGCGGTGACGATAATCCTCATTTAGACATAGCACGCAACATTCTTATCATATTTTCTGCATTTCATCCACAAATCGGTTATACTCAAGGAATGAATGATATTTTAAGTAGGTTTTTAGTAGTACTCGATTCCGAGGTAAGTTATCCTTTATTCCTTAATAGCAATATTAAATATATCTACAGTAATTAGTTAAAATAGATATCTTTTTTATTTGTAATTATGAAAAGTCATCTGAAATCTAGTCCTTTTTAGTTCAAAACCCTTTTTAAAATCTTTTGAGGATTTTAAACAGGAAGATAGTCCTAGAAACAATTCTTCTAAGCGTTAGGATAAACATGGATAAATATTTGAAAACAACGCTACAAAACGCTCGAAAATATATTTACTAAAGTTATATTTCAATCTTGTTTTTACTTTAAAAAAAGTATCAATGCAGACACTATATATATTTATTGAACAATTTTTTTTTTATTTGAAAAACTGGACATTACAGGAATTCTATTTTGAGAATAATGCTTTACAATTTTTAAAAATAGTTGAACTTACGTGTATTCAACTTGATAGCGTGCTATCATTCTATGTGGATACAACTTAGGCGTTTAAAGTCATTCTTACTTGGTAGAACAGAAGGGCACTGTATTAGTTTTAGTTCCACATGTCTAAATATAGACGTGATGTTATAAGGTAATTTAACCTTATATTGTTAGAACCGATAAAAATCATCATGGTTTAATTACCATGTCCATTCCTCCCCTAAGTTTTCTTTTCTTTTTTCTTATATCTCTCCCTATCCTAAACAGGGATGCATGGTCTACGGAAGAAGCATAAAATTTCAACTATTATTGAAGTGATGTTATCCAAACATTCTCTATCATAACTTAGAATTTTCTGAGTATTGTTTAATTACATTAGATTACAGATATTCTTTTTTCCTTCTGTAATTAATGTTTATCTGCATTACATTTGTTTGTACATTTAAAAATATAATATATTTTTAAATGTACAAATAAGTGTGTGTGTGTGAATATATATATATATATAAACAAACAATTTCTTTTACCGAAAACGTGACAACAATGCGCCTTATTTAGATAGTTAGACAGCCTAATAAATAGGATTTAACAATTTGGAGGGCTTATCACACCAAGACCGACAGAAAAAATACCAGATCTTCTACAAAAAAGTTAGTCTTTATCAAAAATTCCTTTTGTATTGGTTAAGACTAACTTTTTTGTAGAAGATCTGGTATTTTTTCTGTCGGTCTTGGTGTGATAAGCCCTCCAAATTGTTAAATCCTATTTATTAGGCTATCTAACTCTATATCTAAATTAAAGTCGTGGGCTAAAGGCGTCGTTTATTATTAATGTGCCTTATTAAAACCTTTTTTTTTAAATATATTCCATTTAAAATATTCTGCTATTATTCACATAAAAATCTAAAAATCATAACACTATATTTGATTTGCTTTTTATTATACATTATTATTTTGCTTGTGCAACCCATAAGCCCCCAAAATTATAAAGGTTTCTTATTATTGAGTTTTTTAGCTTTCCACATTACATTTCTAATTACTTTTTGATTTATATAAATCTAAACTATATAATCTTATTATATAAAGTTAACTAAATGTTGGAACAAAATGTAAAAAGTAACTTATTTGATACAGCTTTAATTTTATACATTTGGAATGCTTAATTTTAATATAATTTCTCGTTAAAACAAATAGCAGCAAACTTCATACTAATTTGTTATAATTCACACTAAAATTGTGAGTTTAGTGGTCCGTGAGGTCAGAGGTTGTCGACCGCATCCCTAGAGAAGTAGGTTGACATCGGTCTCGGGAAAAAGATTCCTTAGGGCAAAAAGTCAAAATGGAGGGAAAAGCAACTGTTCTAACAAGATTTAAATTCTAAATGTAATTTAATTATTATTGGTAGCCAAAAAATAATAGCCAGATTCATTGTGGCGGTCATTTGGCTTTTGATTAATAACATCGGCCTTTTTTTGAATTTTTATATATGAAATATATAGCTAATATACGTATGTATGTAATCCTAATACATATTAATATTTATAACTTTACAAATTTAAATTCTAGTTCGAAGCTTATTGGTGTTTTGTTAAGTATATAGAAAACACTCAGCAAGATTATCATCCCGATGGAATGGTGAAAAAATTGGGTAATTCAGTATTGTAGATGTTTTTTTTTTTATCGACATACATTGAATATAATCTGATTTTATAATGTATAATTTAGATACATTTTGTAACTTACTGGAGAGAATTGATCCGGAATTATACTTTTTTCTTATTGAAGCACAAATTGCCACTCAGCTATTCACTAGGTAAAAACATTGTTTTATTTATATGTAAGTCTATGTTTTTTAATATATAAACCTTTTTTTAAAGATGGTTTTTAGTCACTTTTAAAAGAGAACTAGAATATAATGATGCCCTGAGACTGTTTGAAATATTATCTAGCCGCTATTTAGAGATGAATTCACTGGAAACTCAGAGAGTAAAACAGTTTGGAGAAATAGCGATAAAGCAAGCTGGTCTGTAATTTTGTTGTTATAAATACTTAGTGAATATGTTAAATTCAAATATTCTTTTGCGATTTTTAATCCAGGAAGAAGAATTTATTACGGCGAACCAATTAACAATTCTGATTTAACGTTTGACTTATTTGTATGCTTGGCTCTTCTTGTGCTTAAGAGAAGGTGCATTTTGCTGTCTAAAGACGGAATGGTTTTAGGAGATCTACTTTGCAAGTAAGTTAGAATACAGTAGATCCCCCTTATAACACTGATAATTCCGTTTTATATGAATTCCATGTTGTACGAGTCACTTAGATTTTACAAATACGTGAGTCTGTTCACAGCCCGGCACACGTATTTGTAAAATCTAAGTGACTCGTACAGCATGGAATTCATATAACACAGAATTATCTACAGTGTTATAGGGGGGATCTACTGTAAACTTAATTTAAAATTTAAACATGATTTTTAAAAAATAATTAATTAATCCTTATTTTATTTTTCTTTGTTCTTTTTAGTATCGGAAAAGGAGTAGATCTTAAGACCATTTTAAACGTCGCTTCTCATTTGTTGTTCGATTATTGCAGGAAGTCTGGAATGGAAAGTTTCTTATAGTTAAAAAAAATAAAATAAAATCATGTTTAAGAGCTGTTTTTAAAATTTTTAAGTTGTCTATTTTTGTTTATTTAAACCTTCAACAAAAAAGTCTGTTTTACATAATAATAATATATATAAAACTATATTGTGATAGAGTACAAAAGAAATAAAATTTTCTTTTTAATGAAAGGCAAAACTAAACTTTCTTTTTATATAATTGTCTCCAATAATCATTTACGGAAAGAAGCATAAAAATTCATTCGGATAATTAAATATTTTAATAGCTCGAATTAAAGAATTTTTATAGTCTACATAAAGCTTTTTGTATTGTATGTATTATTTTAAAACAAATGTGTGTAGTTTCATATTTTCCCGTTAGAGGTAGCTATTTGCAAAAATATATGCAAGTATTTTTAGACATTAAAAAAAAGTAAATAAATAAATAAAGCTTATTTTTAAATTACACAATTTTACACGAACGAATCTGAAGTTTAAAAGTAATAAAAACAATCGATCGGTCCGAAATATTAAGTTTTAAAAATATTCGAAAATAAATTTTATATTATTCATCTTAATATTCAGAGTTTGAAAATTTAATTTTTTATTAATGTGCGTTTTACTCCAATAGAAAAATATCATAGATTGTTACGATATCTGAGATTAGCTAGATTATTTGTTTTGAGAGTGTAGAAACCAATCAAATGAGCGATATCGAAAATGACGTAAGTCCACGTTAGGTTGATGGTAGTTTGTTAGGACACGTTGCAATCCGGCTAAGTTTGGATAAAATCATCATACTTTGCTGTTTTGAAAGAGATTTAATAATTTTAAAAGATTTAATACATGTTTAGTAGGTGATCTCAATGATGGAAACGTTATATTTAACCATTCTCGCGCTTTTATGTTGCTTACAAGCTTGCTTGAGCGTGGAGTTAACATTCGAGCTTCCCGATAATGCCAAGCAATGTTTCTACGAAGACATTCCGGAAAATACTAAAGCAATTATCGAATATCAGGTAAAATTTAATAAATTTTACACATTAATATGCTATGATAACAACTTATTGAGCATTTATAATATGATTTTTGTACTGAGTTAGAGAGAAGCCTGTTTAATGTTATGTTAGAGAATGATTCATTTTTACTGAAGTTATTTCGGAATTATTTGTGTGTTTTTGAGTTTTATATAAAAAAATTATGGCTACTGAATCATTAGGAAGAAGAAAAATCCATACTAAATCACATGCGAGTAAAGGAAATCTGGTGTATAAACACAGAATATGTTGTTTCTCTAATAATAAACAAGCAAACATAGTACTAGCAAAAATATTTCAATATTTGAGTCTAACATATATAAAATAACCCAATGAAACTCTTATTAAGTTTAAGTTATAAAATGTTTTGATTTTTTTATGAATCCATATTGCTGAATAATTGTGGAAATCTATAATTAATTAAACATATTTAGAAATTTCATTTTGTCAAATAATTTTATATTTATTGTATTGGAAATTATTGCAAGTTTAAAAAGAGTTATTTCTATAACAGATAATTGAAGTTCGTCCCAGAACAAACTGTATAGAGCACGGGACAAAATGAGATTACTCTGTGTTGGATATCTCGTTTGCTATATGGCGACGTTCCAAACCTTTTGGGTATACAAATATTAAAAGCATTCGTAGACGGGAATTAGACCTATTGGTGTTTGTTCTGTGCTATGCATTAATGCTGTGGTTCTCGATTCGTGGTCCGTGGGAAGTGGGTGCTCCGTGAAGCAACTTCGAGTGTTCCGTGAAAAAATCAAATGTACGATTGAGAATTGTTGCGAAAGAAAAATTAATACTATGTAAAATAATTTTTGTATGGGAATGTAATGTAAATGCCAATGATATAATATACTAGACCAATGGTTCCCAATTAGTGGTATGCGTACCCACAGGGGTATATGAAATTGCATGAAGGGGTGCGCGCAGCAATCTAAAATTGGTCGATTTAAAATTTAAATGCATGAGATGAAGCAATCAAAAAAGTAATGGGTGGACCATCAAAAATTCGGTAATTTACATCATGATGTCGAATGCACAAATTTGTTTATTTATAACTAAAATATTCTCGAATAACTATAACTATTCTCAAAATTTCAAAAAAATTGCATTTGTGACAATACCTAAATGAAATTCTTACACAAGAAACAAAAATTGTACAATTAACATTATTATCATGTCAGCGAAGCGGCAATAAAATATTTACTACCATTTTGCACAACGTACCTCTGCGAGAGCAGATTTTCAGCCATGACAAGCATGAAAACTAAACATCGTCACTGACTTCAACTCGAAGATGACTTGAGACTGAAGCTGACCAAAAAACAACCAGATTTTACAAAGTTGTGCAAAGAAAATCATGCTCATTTGTCACATTAAAATTAAATAACCTTATGTTGTTTTCATTATTATTAGAATTGTATTTTAAAGATAATAAATGTAAAAAACTTATTCTATTTATCACTAGCTGTCTACCCACGACTTTGCCCGCATTATATCGAATTTTCTCGTGGGAATAAGATATTTTCTCGCAGTAAAATGTAGCCTATGTCCATCTCCAACATGTAAGTTATCTCTGTGCCAAATTTTATTAAAACCTGTTCAGCAGTTTAGATGTGAAAAGGTGACTGACAGACAGAATTACCTTCAAATTTATAATATTAGTATGGATTAATATGAATTTCTGCTATAAGGGGTACACGAGTTTGAGCTTTTTCTTGAAGTGGTATGCAGGAAAAACTAATTAGGAACCACTGTACTAGACTGAGTGCGCTCTTGATTTCAAAAAGGTTTGCTACCCCTGCTTTAAAGCTGTATTTAAAGTGTTCCATAAAAAAAAATGTCAAAATTTAGTGTTCCCAGACTTCAAAAAGATTGAGAACCATGGCATTAATGTTTTGCATAAAACTCACTTTTCCTAAAAATGTGCTATATGGCATTGTTCTGGTGTGTACCTGGGTTACCGACTATCCTGAATTGTGAGGGACTGTCGTACGTTTTTAAACAAAATTCCTCAACGTGCAAAGATGCATGAAAATCCTGCAAAACATTTTTAAACGACACTATTAAAGAAATTTGTTACATGTATTTCATTTTCAATAAATATGTTTTAAGTGTATTGTGGACCATTGACATGTGATAGATTGACAAGCAAAGTTAGCTTAATCAGTCGCTGATCTCACAAGGATTCGTGCCAATGCTTGTATATAGAATCAGACTTGCTTTTAAGAAGCTTTCGTTGTTGCCAATGTTTTTAGCTTTTCTAGACAAAATTTTTAAAAAAGTATCCAAGAAGCCAGCTCAGAAAACAGATTCTTTTTTGATAAATAACCTGAGATTTGATGATAAAATCAAAAAGACATTATCTGTACTTTTCCAGCAATAAATTGAATCATGGAACAAATGTTTTCAGCCAATTTACAGTCTTGAAGCAGACTTGTAAATTGGTTGAAAATAAGGATTGCAAGATTCAAAATACATGCATAAATTGTAATTTACTGATAGGTTGAGAACACTCCTTTTATTTGTAAAATAGAATGCAATGAATTATGCAACAAATGCTCTCTCCAAGATAGACTATATAAATTAATTTTCCTATGTAATTTTGAATTATAGTAAACCACTGCCAAACTTAGTCAAATTATTGTCATTTTGTTTGAGTATTCTAGTTACTAATGCTTTTATATAAAGTTTTCTCTCTCTTATGAACATGTTTTGGATGGAAAACTGAAATAAGTGTTCTGTAACATGTTTTGAAATTAATAGTCAATTGATAATTAAGTTAAATTCAAAGGAATCCTGTACTAAAAGATAAAAAGCTTTCTGAAGTATGATCTCAAAGTAAATACAGTAGAACCTCGATTATCCAGACTAATTGGGGGTGAAGGTAATCCGGATAAGGAAAAATTCGGATAATCGAAACAAATACTTTGTCTTTTAATGATAATACAACACGTTTTATTTTCGATGACATATCAGTAATATTAAAAATAAATACTGTATTTAAATTGTGATCAAATTTTCAAGAAACAAATGTTTGTATTGAATTTGGACTACTACTGACCAGCACTAACGGACTACCTATTGTTTAAAAGGCCCTCTGGTGGCGCAAGAAGATGGATTTTATAAAATAAAAAGCAGTTGAAACTGCATTTTTATGAATAAAAATTTGACAAACTATTTATCGTTTTATGATGAGTAAAATTTTTTGTCGCATTTGTGGCTTTTAAGTTTGTGCTGGCATTTGTGCTTTTAAGTTTGCGCCTATGCCTTGTGGTCTGAAGGGCCTCGCGCAAATGCACAAGGCCTTTCAGACCACAAGGCATAGGCGTCTATTTCTATGATCCACATCGTCCATGCCTTACACCACCCTTGGTCATAGAAATGATGTAATTTGAATATAAATTATTTATAAATACGTATGTCAAGTTATATTTTTATTACAATGTAAAATATATTTAAGAGTTTACGACCACTGTGCTGGGTGAGATACTGTTGAAACAAAAAAGTTATGCATTCCATCACGTACATAAACAGTGTCATAATTCGCCAAGTGCAAATCAGCAAATTCGTAAAATTTTTGTTTATTTTGAACAATCCGGATAATCAAGGTTCTACTGTATATGTTTAAGAAATAAATTGTTTCATATGAAAATCCCCCATTTTTTACTAGGATGTTCCCTGAAGAGATTTTCTCCAGTTGGCAACCTATGTTTACTTCAATTGTTAATTAAGCATGATATTTATACTGGCTTCCAATGTTTAAAACTAAATAAGTATGATTTTAATTATGGGTGTTAGTCTATTCATTTAGAATTCAATATCATTAAAAACTAAATGAAATAATCACAAAATTATTGAATTAAATTTACATGGATGAACATTCAGACATTTCCAAAACACAGAATTTTTATCTTATATGTCTCGATTGTGAATAAAATTAAGAAAGAATTGGTGTATGCTTAGAAATAATTACCTAAATTTATCTCATCTTACTATGAATTTCATTTAATTCAATATGTAAATA